GATTAATGGGTGGGTTTGCTATCTTTTTAAGATTAGTGAAGTTAATTATTCTTCTTTCTTAGGGTTGAAAAGCCCGTTATTCTTTAATTTTGAGTTCGGAAAATTAAACCACTGGTCCCGACATATTGTTCGAGAGGAAAGTTGGTCTCTAACCTTTAAAAAGGTGCAAAGTAGTCCCCGTATTGCATTATGGTTATTCCATTACTTTTGAATTACATTAGGATTTCCCCACCTTTACTCATTTTTGTATTTATATCCTCAAAATTTTCGTTAATTAGCACATCTTGACTCCAATTACGATTTCTGTATATAAAGCATGTTCGAATGGCCTAAAAAAACTTAGTTGCCCCTCATATTTTTAAATAAGAAAGAACCACATATACAACTAGGGGTGGGCAAAACCCACTCGAACAGCCCAAACCAAACCAATTTGATCGGGTTGGGTCGATTTTTTTGTTGTTTTTACACGGTTCGGTGGGTTGGTGAGTTGGGTTGGGTTATGGATTAACTCAAGAAAACCGAATAAACCCACTCAATCCAACTCAACCCAACCCGCCACTTTAAAAAAATAAAAGAAACAAAATGTCTAGAAAAGTAAAAGAAACCTAAAAAGTATGAGTAGATATTGTAACTGTAATTACCTTGGTGTATTTTAGAGAAGAAATTTACTGTTCTTCCCACAAGAAATTTAGTATAAATTTTTCATGTTATATTAAATGCACTTTGTTCGTTTTAGGCTCAGCTAATGAGTATTCAATAAGAGAATAGATAATTTTATTTATTTACTTACTATTTAATCTTATCTATTCGAATTTAGTATAATAGAAAATTGGATTACTTTAATTTTTGTTGACAAGTCGTCCCAAACCGACCAACCCAACATAATCTAACTCGATCGATACTTGGTTGCGTTAGGTTGGGTTGAGTTTCAACCTTTACACGGGTTGGGTCGGGTTGTGTTAAATTTTGATCAAACCGATCATGTTGGGTTGAGTTTAGGTTGAGGAAAAAACCGACCCGACCCGACCCAACCCTTGCCCACCCCTATATACAACAGTGAAACATAATATTTTTTCTACATTTCAAAGCTTACTAACATAATCAATTTTATAATCGCTTCAACATTTATGGATGGGGTAGAAGGTTGTTGTCTCATCGTACATGAAAGGTTTCCGTGTCGTCATTTCAAGTTAGATGAAATCTATAGAGATTTAAGTTAGATCGCATGGATTTCCACTGTGATGGAGAGATGTAGAAGTGGAACCGATACTAATAGGATGAATACGTTTGAGGCTTTTAGTGCAAAGAAGTAGAGAAGAAAATTAAAGTAGAGAAGCAAAAGAAAAAAAAAAGGTAATGAGTTATTACATAACCAATATTCCATCATCACAATGATATATATCATTACTCTTGGTTTTATTACCCTTCATTATATTTCACTATCAGTCCTTAATGAGGAAATTGTCCAAATATTCGTTAAATTGTAATGTCGTCCTCCAATTTTCAACACTACAAATTCAATTTGTTTTCCAACATAGGCATATTTTCATAAGGTTCACGAGGTGATTTAACAAAAACTTGAATGTTTTCTAACCTTGGAGATTGATGATATAATTATAATAAAAGGTTGATGACCAATTTGCTACTCGGATAATAGGTTGATGATCAATGTTCCAATTTTTAGTTTTAAGTTATATAATTAAAGATATTATTCCTGAATTGGATCCAACGGCAACAACTGGAAAACACATGGAAAGTGGACTCAATTTTTTTTTTAATTATCTCTATGTTCAACTAAGGAGGAAATTGTTCTTACTTGAAATTATGATGTTTTTTAATTATTCCACTATGGAATCCGTTCATGTGCATGTTCCTCCAAAGCAGATGCTTATTTTAATGCTATAGCCACTTTGAAATTTGAATACAAGTATGTGACCCTCAACGTCCATTTCCCACAAACTTCATCATCTTCTAACCAATTGATCCCACTTTGGTATTGGTGCCCATCAATTCAAAGATTAACGTAATTGACTACGACTTATTTTAAATGCAAAGTAATGTTATTCATAAATTGTGGTGATGAACAATAAATTTATAAGGTAGCAAAATCGATCGTTGTCGCATTGTTCAATAAAGTTGAGATTCATTTTATTCGAACAAATAATATTATGCAAGAACAGTCCCTCATGCTACTAAAGATGGAGTTGGAACCCCCTTCAGGGGTGACCGAGTTGGTGGAGCAGGTGAATGCGGAGACCAAATGTCACGAGTTCGAATCCCCCTGCCAACACTTCCTTGGTTGAGCCCATTGTATTGGGGTTGTCTAGTGCGATTTACCTCTTTTGTGTGGTTTGCAGACTACTGCACATGGAACGGGGTTTACCTAGTGCGTACTCACAGTGGTCGGGCTTCCGCCCCTTCGGGGTGGTCGGGACTCCACCGGCGGGTAGCGACTGCGGGTTCCTACTTCAACCAAAAAAAATGGATTTGGAGATCAACGACCATAATTTATAAGTGCTTGTATTGAAGTCTACTCAAACTAAAAAGAACAAGAGATCGACAAGTATTACAGATTCTAATGACGTTATATTGTTGACTCTTCGTACTGAAAACTTGTCAAACTAAAAAAAATAAAAAATTGAAGATCTATAGTCTCTAATCGTGGCTTATTGTTGAGCCATGTTCTGAAGAATGGTAAAACAAATTCGGTGTATTATTGATTACTCATATTGAAGACTTGCTAAGGCCCTGTTTGAGAAAGATTCTCAAATTTCTACAGTAAATCAATTCTCATTTTCAACTACACATTCTTCAATAAAATAATATTTTCCATCACATCAGTAATTTTTTCTTTTTTTTCAACCACACATTTCCCATCATATCACTATTCAAAATCAATTCTTCTCAGTGCTTGTATTGAAGTCTACTCAAACTAAAAAGAACAAGAGATCGACAAGTATTACAGATTCTAATGACGTTATATTGTTGACTCTTCGTACTGAAAACTTGTCAAACTAAAAAAAAAAAAAATTGAAGATCTATAGTCTCTAATCGTGGCTTATTGTTGAGCCATGTTCTGAAGAACGGTAAAACAAATTCGGTGTATTATTGATTACTCATATTGAAGACTTGCTAAGGCCCTGTTTGAAAAAGATTCTTAAATTTCTACAGTAAATCAATTCTCATTTTCAACTATACATTCTTCAATAAAATAATATTTTTCATCACGTCAATAATTTGTTTTCTTTTTCAACCACACATTTTCCATCATATCACTATTCAAAATCAATTTTTCCCCCAAAAATCTCTCCCAAACAAGCACTAAATTGAAGAAAGGTCAAAGAACAAATGGAGTTCTCTCTAACGAACCTTATACTTTTTCATTCATGATGAATGAAATGAATTTGGGATAGAGAGAATTTTTTTTAAAAATTCAAATAATTTATTGGACGGTCGTAGTTGACTTGAACATATTTTAATTCGTGAAAATAAATATATAAAAAGAAAAACAATAGCTAATACCAGTGGCGGATATAGAATTTTAAGTTAACACAGGTAGCAACTGTTGACCGTCGACGACAATAAAGTATTAAGATCCCAATTTGATGCCCATTTTTTTGTAAAAAAATGCATTTTGGAATGATGATTCGATGGAGAATATGTGGTTCAATATAAGGAAAAATTTTAAATTTGCATGTAATATTATTCTATTAAAAAATGTGTGGTTGTGCAGAAAAGAGAAAAATGCATTTTGAAAAAAAAAGGAATCAAACAAAATCTAAAATTTCAATATAACAATTATTTTTTTCAAACTGAACATATGTAATTTTGTTGTACAAATTAGTAATATTCACTAAATGATATTATGACCAAGTTTTGTATAATTCAAAGGAAGAGCAATGGTTCGAATTTTTAAAATTGCATTAAAACCGCTAAGATTTAATATATATTATTCTGATAAATTTAGTACGAATCCCCCCATAGCATTAACTCCAGTGTTGATTTTCTTGATCCACGAAATGAGTTATTCATGGGTTTGGTAAAATTTGTAGAACTAAAAATATTTCAAATAAATTGATTGGGAAGAAAATGGATACTGGGACTTCCAATATGAATATGCAAGTTCTAACCAATTAAGCTACAAAAAATGTTTGAAAATAAAATAAAATGAATTATCAATTATATAATTTAAAAATTTTAAAAAAATTGTTCCGAATGGATCCCGCACTCGCGACCGTTGAAGCTCGTTGGGTGCCGGATCCGCGACTGCCTAATAATGTACATACTTTAAAGAATCGGATTGTCAAATGCAGCCACCACGAGTATGGGGTTATGGCTCAACCACACCAGACAACCTCCCGACCGTAGAGAATGGCTATCCTTTATGATTCTCTCTCTCATCTGGCAAGTTCTGATTCCCGATGCCACCCCCGACGACGAATTTCCCAAAACACCCAATATCAATCATAATATGAAAAAGTCTACATGGCTATAAATGTAATTTCACATCAGAAAACTGAATATATATAGCAGTGGCATCACCTCATTCAACTTTAGCTGCAGAGCACTTAAGGTGGCATCTCTAAAGCGTGAAATTACCAAACGGCCCTGCCGGAATCAAAAACCAACCGGCGTTGGCCAGTCTTAAGACCGAATTTAATCACAAACTAGTGAATTGATTTTTCTTCGGAAAAATCGGCGTCGGAGAGTTATCACCCGGACCTGGGAAAGTAGTACTTCGCATGATGGGATTTTGCATCTGTCCGTTGGAGACTCCGGCGAGGTTGCTCTGGAGCACTAGTTTCTTCCGCCACAAGCTCATGCTATTCTAGTAATTTAGTTAAAAATCCAACCGCTTATTGTTAAGTAGATTGTCTTGTTTTTCACCGGAAAAAAATAAATATATATACACGATTCTCTTGTGTGTGTGTGTGTGTGTATACGTATATCTATATATATTGATAACGGTGTATTTAATTACCGGAGATCTGACGAAAGAAATGGAATCCGGTCGTATTTTCTTTGACTCCAAGTACAACGGCAACATGTTATTTCTGGGAAATGGCGACTCTGTTTATCGAGGTAGTATCTTTAATTTCATTATATACTTCGCATAAATTAATCACAATATTGTAATGATTTTTATCTTTCATTCAGTTTGTTGATTTCTCATTATTTAATGATATAGGAGTAAGATCGGCGATGAACATAGAGGAAACCTCGAAGAGGCGGCCTTTTTTCAGCTCGCCGGAAGAATTGTATGATGAAGAATACTACGACGAGCAGCTGCCGGAGAAGAAGCGCCGTCTCAGTCTTGAGCAGGTCGAATTTTACTTTATTGTAATTTTTAAAATTATTTTACGAACAAATTTTGCATGGTATAATCTGATGCATGAACGATTTGCACTAGTATGTAATTACTCTTTTTCAATTAGTGGGGTGGATTGATTTAGGTGCACTTGCTGGAGAAAAGCTTTGAAACGGAGAATAAGCTGGAGCCGGATCGCAAGTCCCAACTAGCGAAGAAGCTAGGCCTGCAGCCGCGGCAGGTGGCGGTTTGGTTCCAGAACCGCCGTGCACGGTGGAAGACCAAACAGCTGGAAAGGGATTATGATCAACTCAAGTCCTCGTATGATTCTCTTTTATCCAATTATGACTCCATTCTCAAAGATAATGAGAAACTGAAAGCTGAGGTAAAATCACATGATCTTGATAGAAACTTGTAATATTTCCTCGATTTTTCGCCGTATAACAGTGGGTGACTCTTCTGAATCTGAAGAATCACATAGAAAATTTTATAATTGGCCGTCTCATTTCAACAATTATAAATTTTGATATTAAAATGATTGCGTCCGTGTCCATTGCAAGGGTGACCCATCACTCGACAGCAACTCTGAAAATGACCTTGGCATCTTTTGCTCGCTGTGCACGCGCGCGTATATACATATGAATTTTGCAGGCGAAGTTGCTCGTTCATATTCATGATAGGGACCCGGACCTATTGGACTGGTTCCTAAGCCTAATATTTTTCCCGAGCTATAAAACTTACATATCTGTCAAGCTCATCAATTCTATTCCTCCTGCATCAGTCAAATAAAATAGCATCTGTTCTAAACCCCACCAGCTAAAAGGAAATGATTTGCACTTTGAAAAACAAATAAGCCTTCTTGGTTCTCCATGTATGACATAATTGTTCTGAACATTGATTAATCAAGATAACTGCACTATTGGTTGTTCTATTTATCGAGTTGCAACTATCAGTTTTATAGCATCGTTGGACTCTAGTCATGGATTTGATCATTAAGAAGTCAATTTATTGTTAATCAAACAACGGTAGCCTTGAGAAATAACAATCTTAATGTGCATGCAAGCAGGTTCTTTCCTTGACAGAGAAGCTGCAAGGAAAAGAGGCTGCCGTAGAGAAATCCGATCCGTCCTTGGTGGATGCTCCGGCCGATTCCCCTGTCCAACTCATCTTGAAGGTAGAAGACCGTCTCAGTAGTGGCAGTGATGGAAGTTCAGTGATGGATGATCAGGAAGCTCCACAGCTTGTGGATAGTGGTGATTCCTATTTTCCCAACAATTATTACCTGGGTTGTGTGTCTGTCGGGGTGGAGGGTATTCAATCCGAGGAGGAGGACGGCAGTGATGATTGCGGCAGCTATTTCTCGAACACGTTGGTGGCGGCCGAAAAGCAGGAGGGTGAGCCACTGGGCTGGTATATTTGATCGACCTTAGATAATTAGTAATAAATATATGCCATGTTGAGTGTTTTTATATTTCTGCTTGTAATGTGGTAGTTTTAAGCCGCGTATCATAAACTTCCTATATAGTTTCCCAAGAGATGGAAATGTAAAACTTGAGAATATTTTCCAATTAGCAATTATATGCAAAAGGAATAAAAAATAATTTAAGGTCCATTTGATTGGTAGAAATTTTATGGAAAATGTCACATTCGATAAGTTTAATTTCTACTTTGACTGTTTGATACGAAAAGTTTGAATTCCAAGGTACAACTTTAAGCTTATTTTTTGCCAATTTCATGAAAAATTCATTCATATAGTGTATATGGATTTTTATTTTCCAATTTATGTGAAATTGGAAAGTCTTTTCACCTTTACTAATCAAATGGACCCGAATTAATGGTGGGTTGTAATGAAAATCCATATTTCTTGCAACGTGTATGGCATGAATTTTGAAAAATCAAAAGTTGTTTTTTGAGATTAAGAAATTATTTGTGAACATATTTGAATAATTTATGAGTAATGTTATGTAGTCCTAATAAAGTTGAGTAATGTTATTCATCCCCATTGGGGATGAAAATACAGTTTAGGTGGTTTTAAATGATAGGTTAAATGAAAAGTGAAATTAAATGACTTATTTAATTTCACCTATCATTTAATGGCACATTGACGCCATGTAGACTGTATTTCCATCCCCAGTGGGGATGAATAGCATTACTCTTTTCGAAAACACGTTTTTGAAAACAAGTTAAAAATTTACAAAGAAAACCCAAAACGACAATTTGTCGTTTTGAGTGTTTTCAATTATAATCAAGTCAAAATTTTCAAAATACATTTTGGAGGTTTTCAAAAGTGAGGATGAATAGCATTACTCAATAAAGTTACTAGATGGTGCTAATGCGGCGTTAAATAATAAGTGAAATTAAGAGACCTTTCATTTAGCCTTTAATTTAGTATCACTTAGATTGAGACTGTAATCTCAGTTGGTCTATATATCATTACTCATAATTTATTGAAGTGCTTTGTTTGGTCTAGAAAAAGTTTTTATAGAAAGTTCGTTTTAGGTAGCTTTGTCGGAAACTTCTTTTAACAAAAAATGAAAGCATAGCCGAAAGGGTTATATTTTCTCTAATCCAAAGTGTTACTGTGCATGATCTCTGGAGACTTGACCTAATTTGCATTTTAGGTGAGCCGTGTCGAGTAGGCCTGGGCGCGATTTGATTTGGGTCGGTTTTAATCCCAACCCGAAACCAAAACCAAATTAGTCGGTTTGGGTAAATTTCAATCCAAACCAAACCAAATTTGGTTTGGTTTGGTTCAGTTCGGTTACTCGGTTTGAGTTTTTGTTCAAATTGAATTTTTTTTAAAAAAAAACTCTTGAGTTTTAGCTCACTTATAGTACATATAATTTTGTTTTTTATTTATACAACTTTTTTATTTGAATTACATCATATAACAACTAAAAACATATTTGAAATTTCAGTTTTCAAAGAATGAAAATAATTATCGCAACCTGCATTTTCACAACATCTAAGGTTTTATTAATGAATCAAAACATAATATGTAATTAAAAAGATTCAATATTGTAACTAATCCATAATCATTATCTCAACATGCATTTTCAGAAGGTGAACTTATTACAAGTAAAACTTGCTATATAAAAAAAAAAAGTAACTAAAAACAAAGCTACCAACTGAAACAGAAAACAATGTTTATAAAGAATATAAAATAATATCAATGTTTTCTTGAAAATGTCATCATAAAACAAAATGTTTATATAATATTCAACAAGACTATTCAAAGAAACAGCTTGAGCACCTCCACATTCTGAAGAACATCATTAAGCTTTTGATTTTGACTTTTCTTTTTTCAATAAAATAAAATAAAATAAAATGGAAACATGTGTAAGTTGGTTGTGTCGGTTAACCAGTGGTTTAAGACTTTAAACCATGACCAAACCGAACCACAGTGGTTTTGTTTAAAATAAAACCAAACCAAACCAAATTATGTCAAACCAACCCAAACCGACCCGAGTCGGTTTAGTTTGGTTGGTTTTTCGATTTTTTTGCCCACACCTAATGTCAAGTGTCTATCAAAAAATTGATGTTTGACTAAGTCATTTGATTTAGTAGAATTTTAAAGTATACTAGCAATCTTCGTCAAATTTTCGAGAAAAGAAAAGGCCCAAGTAGGCGTAACCAAGGATCGTGATGCTTCGGCCCTTGATAGCTCGATTTTCGTTTACATCTCTAAACATGAAAATCAAGGTTGGTCTCGAAGCAATTCATTATAGTTTTACTGTACTATTAATAATATGTGAAGTATAAAATGTCCAATAAGTGACACCGAATTCACCGCTAAACTATCTAAATATTAATTTGAATTTGTTGATATACAATTTTTGCTTACATCTCTGAAAGTGGTGGAATTCTAAGAAACCTCATCGCACCTTATGAGTGAACTTCTTGTTTAGTCACCAACCACAAACTCGTACATCAAAATATTGTACTGGGCTTGCCTAGTACGTTTCACCTCTCCATGTGGTTTGCGAGCTACTGCATATGGAGCGAGATTTACCTAGTGCGCACTCACAGTGGTCGGGGCTCTGATGGGGCAGGTAGCGGCTGCAAATTCCTACGTTTACAGGAAAAAAAATATTGTAAAACATTTCAAAGGACTAGATGAAGTTTACTTCATACAGACTATAAGAAGCGGCTTTCTTTATTTTCTTTTTCTTTTGAAAACAATTCGATTGACTAACGCTGATTAAATTTGAAATAAAAAAATTTAATTGCAATTTTTTTGTTAATTACACGTGGACAATAAAGAAATTTATTCATAAAGCAACGAACTTGTGACACTTAAAATTGATCTAGAAGTAATAATTCACGAATAGTTTCTTTTTTTTTAGGTGCTTTTGTAATATCCACATGCGTTAAGAGGCCAAAGTCACGAATTGATTTACATATACGAATTTAGTCGAATGTTCATTTATATTGGAAAAATTGAATCGTCAATTAATTCATGTTGTGGTTTTTTCTTTTACTTGGACAGGTTTCCATGGCCCAATACAAGAACCATATTTGAACTTCACTAATATCTAGAGATGGCAACGGGGCGGACGTGCGGGGCGCGGGCCTGCCCCGTTGTCTATCCTCCCCCCTTTTTTTAATTTTCAGTTAAAATACAAATTCAAAATTTTAAAATTCAAAGCAAATAATACTCAAACTAACTACATTAATATCCAAAACAAACACTCGAAATAAAAAATGTCAAAATTGTTTTTATTATTCTTCATGGGACGGGTTCGACCCGAGATGGGGTGGCGAACCCCGCCAACCCGTTCGGGGCGGGTTTTTTTGTCCCATTTGGGGCTGTGCTTGGCTGGACGGGGAAAATTGTCATCTCTACTAATATCGCGGCTAACTTCTTTTCTTCTTCTACTTTTTTTATTATTTATTTTTTGTGGGTAAAAACTGAAAAATTACATTTTCACTTGTGAGACGATAGTTGACAAGCTCTTGCACGAGCTACTACGCTCGATTGGAGAGCCAACTCATGCAAGCATAATTTTACAGTTGGATTCAAGCCAAGCCAACTCGTGCAAGGTAGCAACCCTACATAAATCATATTAGTAAAATCCTCAAGAGAAGTAGGGGAAAAATTAGAGCAAAGCGATAACATTGAAAATATTTATGAATAAGAATACGAAGCACATCAAAATTCTTACATAAAAAAAATGACAACTTGGATTATTACTTGCGTATAACGTTAGAAGGATTTATTTGATTGAAAGTTTGTTGTCAATTGCGCCAATTACAAATATGGAATTAATTCAACAATTTTCACCCCTTTCTCCACTAAACAAAACCAGCAAATTGCTTGTAAATTAAAGTACAATGGCGTGATTGCATCAATTTGAAAATTTAGTGACCTCATTGCAAGTATGACAAAAGTATAGTGACATATGTCATGGGAAATTGGCCTACACGGACAAGACATGAGGCTCATTTATGGAAGCACGGAACCCAAAGAAGGACCTAATTGTTCGTAAATTAAAGTATAATGGCTTGATTGAACCAAATCGATGTTAAGTAACCTCTGGTGCAATTTACGCTCTTTTAGTACCTGCTGATCTGAACAGTACAATGGGGTCAAATTCAAAATTGATGTAACATCAATTCAAATTAGCTTTCCCTATGTTGAAGCGTCCAGTTCGAAATTTGAAGCCTCAACTTTCAATTATTCCCGTAAACCTCTTTATAATCTCGTTTAACCCAAATTAACACGGCAGGGGCAGTTTTGACTTTTCGACCCTGCCGGCCCAGGTCGGGCGACAAACATGCCGTCTCTTTTTACTGCCGGTTATGAAATCTCTCTCTCTCTCTCTCTATAAATTCATCTCTCTAACACACACTGATTTTCTCATTCACAAATCTATCGATCAATTTATCTGCAATTTTACTATCGCTGCTTCACCAATCATTTCTCTCTAGGTAATCTCTGTGTATATACATATTTATGTACATATTTAGAAGGCACTGAACTTTGAATCCGTTTTAGGAGTACGCGATATATGATTGGAGTTCATAGTTTGAAGTTAACTGTAGTGGTTAATGAATATTAAGTGAAGTGAGATCTTTTAATTGATGTATTTTTAAAATTATTTCGTTGTAGTTGGTTTTAGTGATTGAGGAGTGACAGATCTTCATGGTAATTGGCATTAATTGATATGCCTCTGTTGTTTCTGCCTTTTTTATTGATGATTTAGTTGGATTTTTTGGTTTATGGTGTAGTTGAGCGATTTTGTGATTGGCGCACATTGCTTTTAGTGATTTACTTTGCGTTGTGCATTGATGGAAAGTAAACGAATAAGTTGATTTATTTGGTATAATTTGTGGGAAATTGGGTTCAAAATTAAGTGTTCTTTTAATTGAGAGTGTTCCACACAGCATTGATATAATTATCATTTCTAATTAGGTGGACTGGATTTGCTACATCTACTACATTGACAGTCACATATTGCTATCCTATGCTGGCAAGTTGGGGAAGGAATTGGATATAGTGTCTAGATGGTAAAATCAATGTCCAATAGAAAGCTGAGAAATAGTTAATAGTCTTCTGCTGTTCATGTTCATGGAAAACACTAAGGATTTTTTCCATAATTTCAGTGGTTAATTTAAATAAATACGTTTTGTGTACCACACAGTGAGGATGAGGTTTGATGTTGAGATACTCTGAGTTGATCTTCCTGGAACAACCTTACTTGCAGGACTCTTGAGTTCCGTGGAACAAAAGTCTGGGTTTGATCTGCCAAAAAAGAGACATTGATGTATTAGATGCCTAACTATTTTGATGGAAATATGAGATCAATTTTTAATCCTTCTTTGTCAGGTATCCACGACCTACGTAATGTCAGAGACTGCTCTCAGAGATGTCAATACAATACCTGAATCACAGAGAAATGAAGGAAGCTCTGGTAATGGAAATTTTGTGAGGTCTCAGGTTGAGCACAAGGATGAAAACATCGAAGAAATGCAAAATATAAAGACAGACTCAGTTGTAACTCCCATTAAGAAAGATGGGACAGAGAATAATGGAGTAGAGGTGGGGAATTCAGAAGTGGAATACATTGAATCTGAGAATTTGAATACTGTAGAAGACGTAGAGAACTGTCTGAAGGTAGGAATGCTTTCTGTCCTAGCATCTTCCCCTGATGCTTTTTACAAGTTCTTTGAATGTCTCTCAACATGATAACATTTATATAAGCATATTGCGTTAGAAAAGTACTCAACCTCTAACCCACATACTTCTCTATTGTTTTGGTTTTCAGACACTCCTATCCAGACTAGACTCCAAAGACTGGGTTTCGGTGTGTGAGGCACTTAACGATGTACGCAGATTGTCTATATTTCACAAGCAAGCAATTGTTGGCATGTTGTGAGTTCATCTTTTATTTGGTTCTTTGATTGGCAAAACATGTGCAGTGCCATTTAGAACTGCATTTTGTGAATTTTCTATTTCATGACTCCTGCATTTTGATGCAGGAATGATGTGATGTCCTTAATAGTGAAATCGCTGAAGAATCCAAGAAGTGCTGTTTGTAAAACTGCTATTATGACTTCTGCCGATATTTTCAAAATATACAGTGATGACATCATTGATGCACTGGATCCATTGGTAATTCGTTTCCTTCCAAATTCATATAATGTATATATTCTCTATATGCTTTTGTATGGCCTTTATCCTCTAATGACTATATTCTTTACCTACAACATTGTTATCTTTTGTTTAGCTTGTACAACTTCTTCTGAAATCTTCACAAGACAAAAAGTTCGTGTGCGAGGCAGCTGAAAGTGCTTTGATAGCTCTAACAACTTGGGTTTCTCCTGTTCTATTGTTACCCAAGCTGGAACCTCATATAAAGAACAGAAACCCTCGAATCCGGGCAAAGGCTTCTATGTGCATTTGTCGAAGTGTGCCTCGGTTGGTAAGCACTCATGTCAAGTGTCAACTAAGTTTTACCTGGTTAATTGCTTTAAATCAATGTTTCTTCCAAACCGACTTCTGACATTAGTAGTTGCCAAGTAAAGACCAGTCTCATCTTCTGGATCTCAATCCTTATTCTGATAAATGGTTAATTGTGTTTGGCTTGCGTGCTTTGCAGGGAGTTGACAGGATCGAAGCCTTTGGGATTGACAAATTGGTTCAAATAGGTGCATCCCAGCTTAGTGACCGGCTTCCTGAGTCCAGGGATGCAGCTCGTACTCTGTTGTTGGAGCTGCAATCTGTGTACGAGAAATCTCATATCCTAAAACCAACTACTGTATCCGAGGAACCAAAGATAGCCTCTTGGGAGAATTTCTGTCAATCGAAGCTATCACCTTTGAGTGCTCAAGCTGTCCTTCGTGTGACCAATATTACAAGAGAGGGACTTGTTTTGGGTTCATAACATTGGTATTCAACAAACAGGAGCTTTACTGAGTATTGTCCTTCTCATATTGCCCTTATTCGTTATTATATACTTGTACATACCTTGAAAGTTTGAAATGTTTGGATAGGCGGGTCGGGCTAAGATTCTACAGTAGCATTGGAATATGATTACCATTTATTGCTAGTTATGGGCGCAAATTAACTCTGAATGGCGATTGTGACTCTGCATTGTGCCCATAACAATTTCTTTCCCAGTCAATTATATTGTTGTCTTGTGCTATGCTATATTTTCTTTCTGGCGGTTCTATGAGATTCTGAACAGCACTATCAAACTAGTATTGTCCCCGTAACTCTATTTTCTTATTCCCGTCTCAATAAGAATGTTAGTTCGTACACTTTGTAGACGTAATAGACATTTCACGAGTTTCTTCGTTCGTCATTGATGGAAAGACACACGGAAGGCATTCACACGCTACCTAATTGCAATAGCCCTTTGTGCTAAGATTGGAACATATATTCTATTTTATCGACTGTGTAAGAATTTATTGCCACCTTTACAAATCAATGTTCGGGTCTTCAGTTACAAGCTTTTCTTTTATTGGGAGAGTGTGCGGTTGAAAATTAATTTGAAAAAAAGTGAGTTTTGAAGAATATGTACCAAACAGGGAAGAGCCAAATATATTTAAAGGACACTTCTTTTCATATTTGTTATAGTACTAGATCTAGTAATTTGAACATGCGTTGCACGCTAGTTGGTTAATATTAAAAATAAGTTTATCTAAATTTGAGAGAAATTCATTTGTACAAGTAAAAGATATTTATAAGTTGGTTTAAACTGACTTACTTTTCATCTTTTTTCATTTTTCATTTTTGATTCTTGATTTGCAAAGCTATAGTAAGTACCCAAATAAATGTAACTCAATATCGAAAGAATTAAGTTTTTAATTTATAATAAATTATATTTAAAAGAAATTACATATAAATCGACTAGCAATTAGATTGGATGCTGTGGAATGTGTTTCCTGTCATGAGATTTGGCAAAGTTTTAAAGGTTGACATAATGTCACTTGATATTTTATCATGGATAAAGCTACTTGTACATAATTTCTTGTATATAATGGTGTTCACCCTCTCACATGGGGGGGGACCCACTTTGAATATATTATATTTTATTCGAACACATGGGGTGGACCCCACATGAATAAATTTTTTTTTTTAATCATACGGGGTCCACCCCATGTGAGAGGGTGGACACCCTTATATACAAGAAATTATGTAGAAGTAGCATAGTCCTTTTATTATTGGACTATTTAAAATACAGTCAACTTTTACATCCAATCGTATTCTGCCAACACTTATTACGTCAAAATATCTGTCAATATTTTTCCGTCAAAACGGCATAACTCTAATTTCTTTATCCTTGCTTGAGACGAGCTACGAAAAATGGAGGCAGGTTTCGGCAGTAACTTGCAGCTGTCAAAAATTGTCTACCGGCCAGGGACAAGATAAAAAATAATGTACTGAGAATAAACCCGTTCCAACGTCGAAGACTTCAAGATTTCAGTTGAGAATAAAAGAATCTTGTCTTTATGTAATAACTTCCAGTTCCCCATCATTTATAAAAGCTAATGTCATTCTCCGCTAGTGAAAGTGTAACGAGTCCTTTTTCCTTCCTTTCTCTGTGAAGAATTAAGACCTATGGATCAAATTGTGTTACTTACAGTTATATTCGTATGGCCTAGAAAAGAATTTCATTCTCTCTATATCTTTTACTTCTTCTATTAACTGCGGTCATAATTTAGATAACTTGATTTGTGGGGGAAGAAGCAGTTTTGCAAATGAAACCGGAAAAATTTACTTGAATTCAACTGAGCAAAAAGATTGCTCGAGCGAAATGAAAGGTACAGAAGCAGATGCTTTAGGTACTTACTCAGGTTTTCGCTAACTCTATGAACATTCTTGTAGAAGCAGGCTTATTCGTATTAATTGGAGGCTTTTTCGGGTTTTTTGTGGTACTTCTTTCTTCAGCATGGATCTTATCACGAAGAAGGAGTAAGTTAATCACACCGGTTAATAAAGAAGTTAGGTTTTATAACTGATAAATCATGCAAGAATGTTTCTTATTCATTTTACATATCAGCATTGTCAAAGGAGTCTGCTATTCTCAAGGTCCCTGTCGAGGAGGTATATGCTGCCACAAACAATTTACACGAATCAAACTTCATCGGCCAAGGGACAGCAGGTATATAAGCTTCTCTAGACAAACTCAGTTTTTAAGAAAAACCTATGAAAAACAATAATACTGAATTGATCGGTGTAATGGTATACTAATAACTGTATCCGGTCACTTTATTGTATTGTCTTAATGGATTTGGGAAATGTGTACAAAGGCGTATTTTCAGGGAATCAACAAGTGGCAATAAAGCACAATACAAACGAGGGATGTGCTGAGACTTTCGTGAGGGAAGTTGGAAGCCTAGCGCACATCAGACACCCAAACCTGGTAGCTTTGTTGGGCTATTGTGAATCTGAAGGCGAATGCTTCCTAATTTATGAACTTTGTCCCAATGGAAACCTGTCTGAGTGGCTTTATGGTATAGATTTATGTCTGCCTAAGATGTCCGCTGTCCAAACCAGCTTTTTCCTTATCCGATAACTTTAATGTTTATCAGGGCAAGATAATGTCCTGTCCTGGATTCAAAGGCTAGTCCAAACCAGCTTTTTCCTTAACCAATAACTTTAATGTTTATCAGGGAAAGATAATGTCCTGTCCTGGATTCAAAGGCTTCAGATAGCGATTGGCAGTGCTCGAGGACTCTGGGTTGTCCATGCATATCCGGGAGGATGCATTGTTCATCGAGATGTTAAGGTCTGGTTCGACACCAAAGCCTTTTATCGTGCATTAGTTCGTGTTCATGTCAAGTACTTGTGCACCAATATCTGCATGACTGTTCACTATGACCAATTGAAGTTCATCTTACATTTGACAGACATCAAACATTCTGCTTGGTGCAAACTTCGAAGCCAAGCTTTCCGAATTTGGGTTGTCCAAGGTTATGAACTCAGACGGATCCTATGCGAGCTCAGAAGCGAGAGGTACGTTTGGCTACGTTGATCCCGAGTACCAAAGCAACCGTCTTGTAAGTGCAGCAGGTGATATCTACCGCTTCGGAGTAGTACTCCTTCAAATCCTCTCGGGGAGGAGAGTTATCAATATGAATATGAAGAAACCTATGTCATTAGACAAAATTGTAATCACTATCCCTTGTGTCTTTTCCTTTTTCTTGGTTTGGAATAATAATTCAAATAATTCTTCCTTCATTGTTGAACAGGCAAAATCTCTTACCAAATATGGAAGCACAGCAGAGTTTGCCGATCCAAAACTTCATGGGGAGTATTCAGTAGAAGCTTTAAAGCTCAAATTCGAGCTAGCTCTTTCACGTATGGCTCTCAAGCAAAAAAGACCATCCATCGGCCAAATTATTGTGAAATTAGAGGAGGCTCTTGACATATCAACGAGGACAAAAGCCTCTTCCCCAGATTGGTCATTAGTACCCTAAACCTTACGCATTGAATAATCTTAACCCTTCATAAACTATTCAGACCCCGACATTTGCATATTCCGTTGCTAGAGATTCTTCTAACCATCAAGAAAGATCAAAATGTTAATACGAAAAACTGCTACGGTACAACCATATGGAACGTATTTAAGTTGTAATTTTATGACATGCCTCTGTTCAAGTATTTTACAAAAATGAATGGATACTTCAGTTCTGAAAATATTTCTTCTGTCAGAATTTTGAGCATAGTGTATTTTCATATCTATAAGCAGTGTTTTTGAGCATCAGAAGACCCCTTGTATCTACATACATTATGATCAGTTCTATAAAGAGAGAGAACAAGAAAGGGCAGAATGCTCTTTAACTGAATAAAGATCATTTTAAGAAGCATAGTTATCTATCCTAACCACTAGTAAAATTTACAAAACTGTCATGTTAACAGAATTCTAACTGATTTCTCACTCGGTTATTTTCGTATATTTGCATTTTTTGTCATCAAATACTAACTAACTAAACTTCCTCAGAGAAATCAGGCTCGTTCGGTTTGAACAATTCCGGCATCTTTAAGCTTGAAGAAGCAGTATCAGCAAACTGAACCTTCTGAACAACTCCTCTCCTTGTGTTTGCAGCAAATTTCGAAGCCAAAATTGTGGCACCAAGATGCTGAGCTTTATTTGGACTATCCTTGGACGAAATTATTAGATTCACAGGGAAGGAGATTATGAATGTGAAATCTTCATTGCTTGAGAGAAAGAGTTACACGAAGGCACATATATATACAACACAGGAAAGAGGCGCCGAAACTAACTAATTGTCCAGCTGTCAAAAACCAACTGGTAAACTGAGAAAACAAACTAACAAGAAAAGATTAATTGAGTACTGATATAACGTGATAACTTAATATGTTCTAATACGCCCCCTCAAGATGTGCCGTAATGTTCTTGACACACATCTTGGACATCAAAGGAATTAAAGATATGGCTGGAAGGGCTTTCGTGAAAGCATCTGCAAGCTGATACTTGGAACGAACAGGAAGAAGTTTCACTATGCCAGCAATTATTTTGTCTCGGATGAAATGACAGTCAATTTCGATATGTTTTGTCCTTTCGTGGAAGACGGGATTGGTGGCTATCTGAATGGCAACCTGATTGTCACAATAGATGGTAGCTGGTGATGTGGTAGGAACCCCAAAATCTTTCAGTAGCTGATGAATCCAAAGAATCTCACTAACAGTGGCTGCAATAGCTCTGTACCCCGCTTCAGCAAAAGAACGAGAAATGGTTTGCTGCCTTTTCGACTTCCAAGACACCATGGAATCACCAACAAAGACACAGAAACTGGTAGTAGATTTTCTTGTATCAACAAACGACCCCCAGTCAGCATCAGAGAAAGCACGGACAATTAAAGGGGTTTTAGACAACTGCTGTGAAGAGAAGAAAATGCCCTGGCCAGGATTCCCCTTTAGATACCGTAATAGATGATGAATTGCCTTCAAGTGCGGTAATCTAGGCTGTGCAGCAAATTGACTCAATTTATGTACCGCAAAAGTAATGTCAAGCCTTGATAATGTCAAATATATAAGCTTCCCAATCAGCCTGCGATATATAGTAGGATCTGGTAACAATTCACCTTCATGAATGCTGAGAACGAACTTTATCTCCATTGGACTAGTTGCTGACTTACAATCCAAATAATTGGCATCCTCCAACAATTGCAAAGTATATTGCCTCTGAGATATAACAATCCCTGAAGCTGAACGTGCAATTTCTATCCCCAAAAAATATTTTAAGTGTCCCAAATCTTTGAGCTTGGAATGAGACTGTAAGAAAGCTTTCAACGAAGTGATCATCTTCATATTTGGACCAGTGATTACAATGTCGTCCACATATACTATCAAAGCCAAGAAGTTGTCCCCATTACCTTTAGTGAAGAGGGAATAGTTAGCCTTAGACTGAGTGAACCCAAATTGAATCAGAGAAGTGGTGAACTTTTCATTCCACTGCCTGGAGGCTTGTTTGAGTCCATAGATGGACTTATGTAACTTGCACACCATTTTCTCTCCTTTCTCGAAGGACGTGAGAGTCTCGTAGCCAAGAGGTAGGTCCATGTAGACCTCCTCAAATAGGTCTCCATTTAGGAACGTGTCACGCGTTTTCTATAACGTGAATTTATGCCGCAAGTGTACGGTGTCAAGTTTTGTAATATAGTATGAAAGTTAGGATGTCGAACCCACAGGGATTGTAATTTAATTCCACTAAGTACTATAATTATGCAACTTCTATTTTATCTAGACAATTGATGAATGATTGGTTGATTGTTTTAAACTAAAGTAATGAAATTGGTTGAGACAAAATTGAGGAATATAAATTATCAAAATGAAGAAGCCTAGGGAATGATTTCACCAACTTTCAATTATGATTCAATGATATCAAATTATCCAATTAATTTTCCAATATTTAAAAGCAAGAATCCAATTGTATTTCTCTCCCCTCTCTCGAGTGCCGGCTAGAAATTAATCCTACAATTCAATCCCAATATCTCTATTCCGAATTAAAGCCTAGAATTTATCAAAGTCCCGATTCTTTTGTGAAGTAAGCTTCATAGATTTTACACTTTCTCTCGAAACCCATAAAACCTACGTTGCGTCAATCCTATGATCACGCCTAAATTCCCCTCTCTCGAGTGCCGGAATTGACTAGCATCTATTCATTCAATTATTGATCAGGTAATTGAAAGCATTAAATTCATGACACAATTAAATACACGTGGGAAATCCAAAAGAAGTAATTATAAATTCATCAAATCATAATCTCAAGTGGCTACATCAAACCCTAGCTAAATTATTTAGTTCATGAAGAAATTCATAAAATCTAAACAATCTACAATGAAAAACATAAAGGAGGAGGTAAGAAAAACTCTTTTTGGAGTGTTGATCGAAGTCCCCTTTGATGTTTCCACCCTTTCTTCACTTGATTTCTTCAAATCCTTCTTCTTATTGTCCTTGAAGATTTAGCCGTTTTGTATCTTTTTCCTCCTTCTCCAACCTCTAAAATTAGGTCTTTATGATGGTATTTATAGTGTCCACAAGTTGCAAGACGAAATAGGGTTGGACCGGGCCGAAAATCTTTTAAAATTTCCATTTTTTCTCTTTCTCGGTATCGGGCGCCCGGGCGCCCAGATTGGGCACCTGGGCGCCGCGTAGTCTGCTGATTTTCAGCATTGTGGGCGCCAAGGCGCCCATCTTGAGCGCCAAGGCGCCCGGTTCGCTGAAATTCAGTTTACGCTTCTTTCAGTATTTTTAACATAACTCTTTCTCCTGATATCCGATTGAGATGATTCAAGTTGCGTTGGAAAGCTAACTCAAAGGCCTACAACTTTGCTTCAGACATCATTCTCCAATTCAATCGTTCACTATGTCAAAAATGAGTCTCAATATGAGACTAAAAATCTGGAGCAAAACTTTTCGGTTGTAAATTGATTTGTGATCATATTTTGACTAAATTTGATCCCTTTGACATCTTTCTTCATCCAATTGGCTCCGATCACTCTCAAATCTTCATCGTGAGGTTCGGTATAACTTTTCAATATTTGCACTTTAGTCCCCGAACTTTAGATCTCTTACAATTTAGCCATTTCCTTTCCAACTTTTGTTTATTTTCTTCAATCTCATCAACCTACATCACAACATCAAAACACACATAAAAACACTCTAAAACTCTCTCAAGAATGACAAAATAACGAATTAAGTGACATAAATATCATGAGTGTAGAACACTCATCAGAACGCATTGTTCAAATCTAACTGAAAAATGTGCCAATTCTGATGAGCAACCAGAGTAATCAATACTTTAACGGTTAGATTCTTTGCCACAGGGGAGAAGGTATCAAAATAATCCAAGCCCTCCCTTTGTGTGTAGCCTTTTGCAACAAGGCGAGCTTTATGCCTTTCAAGGGATCCATCAGAATTGTATTTATTTTTATATATCCATCGACATCCAACTGAGCGTTTTTCAGGAGGTAAAGGCACCACAGACCAGGTGTGATTAAGTTCCATGGCATCCAACTCAAGTTTCATAGCATCACATCATTGTGGGAGTTTTATAGCCTGATGGAAAAACTGAGGTTCAAAATGAGCTGAAATGTTCAGAATAAGGTTCCTGTAAAGGGCAGACAGATGCTGGTATGTGATGAAATGGATGATGTGAAACTGTGAGTGAAGAACAGGACTATCAGACTGAGTGAGTAAGTTGCAGTGATAGTCAATGAGGTATTTTGGTGGTCTAGAGGTTCTTTGAGTTTTTCGAATATCTTGAGTGTAAGGCCTGAGAGAAGGAGAAGTAGCTAGAGTGTCAGATATTACTGGAGGTGAAGGGGAATGTATCTCAGGATAAATTGATCATCATTAGGTGTAGGGAAATCATCTGGTGAAGGAATGTTGTGGGGAACAACAGATGAAGGAGAAGGAGAATCTTCTGCAGAAGGAATAGTAGAAGATAGTGGTAAAACGAGATCAGGAAAGGGGTCTAGCAACTCATCAGAATCAGTAATAGTGTGAAATGGAAACACCTCTTCATGGAACACAGCATCTCTGGACATAAAAATCTATCTTGATTCAATGTCAAGCAATTTGTACCCTTTGATTCCTGATGGATACCCAATAAAAACACATAACTTTGCACGTGGCTGGAATTCGTCCCTATATGATCTGAGAGTAGATGCAAAAACCAAACAGCCAAAGACCCTCATCATAGAATAGTCAGCACTACAAACATATAAAATCTCATAAGGAGTTTTATGTCGAAGTAAAGAAGATGGTGTTCTATTGATAAGATAGGCTGCAGTTAATATGCACTCAGTCCAATAAGTCACAGAAATTATGGAATGAAAATATATGGCTCGAGCCACATTTAAAAGATGCTGGTGTTTACGTTCGACCACTGAGTTTTGTTGAGGAGTTTCAACATAACTAAATTGATGTTCTACTCCTTTTTCAGCAAAAAATTCCCTGAAGGATAACTCCTGAGCATTGTCTGACCTGAACCTTTTGATTGTGGTGTTAAATTGTGTATTAACCATGTTAAAAAATCGATGCACTACATTCACAACATCTGAGTTTTGTCTCAACATGTAGATCCAAGTAAACCTAGAGCAATCATCCGCCAATATCAAGAAATATTTATGTCCTGAATAAGAAGGAACATGGTATGGCCCCCATACATTACAATGCAAAAGGTCAAATAGTTTTCCAGACATGTTGTTATTTGATTCAAAAGATAACCTTCTATGTTTTACAATAGGATAAATATAACAAGGGATGTGTTTATTCAATTTGGAAATATCACAACCTACTTGATCTTTCAACACATTTAATCTTTTGAAAGACAAGTGGCCAAGTCTATTATGCCATACATGAGCAGAAATACTACCAACAAAAACATCTAAAACTGAATTAATCTCCCTGACATTAAGAACGTATAATTCTTGAACTTTGCTACCGTTGCCAATCATCTTCCTTGTGGTTGCCTCCTGAACGACGAAATGATTATGAAAGAAGCTTAAAGTGAGCTGAGATTCAACAATTAATTCACTGACAAGCAAATTGAATTTGAATTCTGGAACAAATAACACATTATGCAGCAACAAAGTTGGACTCAGTCTGATATCCCCACATAAACTGACAGAGATTCGTGTGTGATTTGGTAATATGATACTTGCATTATCAACTGGCCTCAACTTTACAAAAGCATCAGCAATGGAGCACACATGTCATGTGGCTCCTGAATCTATTATCCACAAATCCTTCGTAGCAAAAACAGGATTAACTGAAATAGAGTGGCATGTACCTGAAGTACCTGAAGTGATGTGCCCGTTTTGAGTACTAGTATCAGCATTTGAGCTTGTAGTTAGGTGACTAGATAACATGTGCATTAGCTGTTGGTACTGACTGTCATTCAGGTTCTGTATAACAGTTTCCATGTTTGGCTGCTGATCAACATGATGAGAAGTTGTCAATTGATTAACAGAGTTAAAAGAGTTTTGATTCTGGAAATTATTCTTCTGTTTAGACTTAAATCCTAGAGGATATCCATGGATTTTATAGCACTTGTCTATGGAATGGCCATGAAATTTACAATGACTACAATAAGATTTTTCCTTCCTTCTGAAAGCATTATAGTTACTAAACCTATTACCATCACCACGAAAATGAGGACTGAAGGCAGGCTTTGAATTATCAGGTCTTAAGGCAAATGCAGGTGCATTATTAGCATCATTTGTATATAAATGTGTACTGAGCTTCTTCTGATTTTCTTCCTGTGATATTAGGACAAAGACCTTGTTAATAGGTGGCATCAGATCCATAAGAAGGATCTGACCCCTAGCTTGGGAAAAGGAGTCATTTAACCCCATGAGGAAAGACATGACATAGTCCATCTGAAAATACATGTTCAACTGCTTAACACTACCACATGTGCATTTTCCACAGCTACAGGCAGGCCTAAAATTGCTTAACTCCTCCCATATAGTCTTCAATTTCGTGTAATATACACCAACATTATTCTGATCTTGTGTCAAATTCATCAGATCCTTTCTCAATTGAAAGATTCGTGGTCCATTGCTTTGTTGAAATCTTTCTCTGAGATCATTCCAGATCTCAAAGGCAGTAGATGCATAGATAATACTTGCTGAAATCTCCTTAGAAACTGAGTTAAGTATCCATGAAATTACCATATTATTGTTGCGGATCCAGGAACTGACCAAGTCAGGGCTTGCATCTGGATCATCATCTTCAGGTTTCTTCATGGATCCATCAATAAAAGAGAGCTTGTTCTTCACCGAAAGGGCAATGGTCATTGCACGGCTCCAGGATGTATAATTATCTCCTGTGAGCGGCTGAAATACGAGAATAAGTCCAGGACTGTCAGAGTGATGTAAGTAATAAGGGTTTGAGGGTTCGCCAATGGCAGATTTTCCCGTCGATGGCTGCAAATCTGAACCTGTATTAGGTCGTATTGGATCCATCGATTTTATGTGCAAAATAGAATTGAGAAATAACCAGAAGAAGCACAATCAAAAGACGCAAACTGGAATTGTTTGCTCTGATACCATATTAGATTCACAGGGAATGAGATTATGAATGTGAAATCTTCATTGCTTGAGAGAAAGAGTTACACGAAGGCACATATATATACAACACATGAAAGAGGCGCCAAAACTAATTAATTGTCCAGCTGTCAAAAACCAACTGGTAAACTGAGAAAACAAACTAACAAGAGAAGATTAATTGAGTACTGATATAACGTGATGACTTAATATGTTCTAATAACTTTCCTAACCTGGAATGGACGTAAAATGAAAGCTTTCTCGCAAAGCCAACTCCTTCGCCAACTTCTTCTTCTTGTACCTTCTCCACGCGGTTTGTAGAAAGCAAGCACCCCATATCCTCCACTGGTGAGAATAGTATCTAAAATGCATGCTGGAGTTTCTTGCTATGAAGGCGCTTAAACTGAAATGCAAAAAATTTAAGGTCTTCAACTCTAAGTGCAAAAGCCTCGACTTCAGTGAGAGAGTTCTAACAGTTCGAGTGGAAGAATGGAAGTTTATAGTTGAATTCGGTACTAAGCCCAGCTTGCAAACCAATCACCTAGTGTACCCTTTGTGGGTGAGTAAAATTGTGGTAACCATGTGGTAAAGTTGTGGGTTTAGCCTTCTTGGTTGGTGTTTGTTTGGTTGATTAAACTGAGCCGGGATCAAGCTTAAGGATTTCGCAACAAATGGTATCAGAGCTTCAAGGTAGTGGATTTGGCTCAAAAAACTAACCAAAAATCGATCAGAAAAGCGATTGAAATGAAGTAGAAACATAGATCGAATAACTGTCACAAAATTGCCCAAAATTTGAAGCTATTTTTGTGATTTTCGACCGATCCATAAAGAGTTCAGCAAAATGGAGACCACTGGTGTGACATGCAAGTGGAGACGCTCCTGGGTGGCTGGCGCATGGGATCGATGGAGGCGCGTGAAGCCCACGCACAGAGGGTTTGAGTGGCACGTGAGGGTGCATGGAGAGTTTCCTAGCAACGATGTCTTCAGGCAGTTTGTTCCTGAGTTTTTCTTGACATTTTGGTGTCGTTAGTTTTCTATCTCAGGTTATACAGTGAAGTCGAACGATTGTGTTCTTCGCGTATTTGAGATTCGATCAAGGTTGATTGATTCCTGCGATTATTGGAGACTTTAGGACAAATAATGGTGATCCTATAGTGACAAATTTGCATCTCTTGATATTTACGGACATTCGGAAGTGGTCCGCTCGGTATCATGTTATTTTATTATTGCAGTTATGATTATTCGTAGGATAACAATTTACTTTTCGTATTAGAAGTCTTCATTGGGATTACCGTGAAGGGGTAACCATTACATGGTGCTAGACTTATGAATTATTTGTCTTAAATTTTTTCGTGAATTTGCTGTCAATTATTTTTTTTCTTTCATTGAAAGAATTACAGTGACCTTAGGAGAGTTTATTTGACAATTCTGTGTGAATGGTATTTTTACTTTGCTTATGATTATTGTTTGACTGCATTTTGTATTTTGTGCATTTTTTTGGTAAAATGACAACACGTTTTGAGTTGTACTTTTTTAATAAAAAATTTGATTTTTCAATTTGGCAAAATGAAAAGGTTTTTCATAAAACTTTTGATGGCAATTGGCAAATGTAGGTCTAAGGCAAGTGCGAAAAATAAGATGTGTATTAACTGCATTATTTTGGACATTGTTGAAATAGACTGTCCTAGGGATGATTAAAGGAAAGTTGATGAGAGTGGTGAGGCGAATTCTGTCTTTGGGATGAGTCAATGTAGGTCTAAGGCAAGTGCGAAAAATAAGATGTGTTTAACTGCGGTAAATTCGGATGTGATGAAATAAGTTGTTCTAACAATAATAATAAAAGGAAAGATAAGGAGAAGGTGAGACGAATATTGATACTAGATTGAGTTATGACTGGAGTGAGGTTTATTGAGAGTAAACATGTCTACTGTATGTGCATCTGCATGTAATCCTTTCTGCATGTATGTGATTGCTTAATTATGTTGCATGTTTATATTTCACATTTCAATATGTTAGATATGTGCATTTGCATGAATTCGAGAGCAATCTGATTACTTTGTGTAATGTGTTTGCATGCATGCATACTCCTTTTGCTCTATGAGTAGAGTGAGATAGTGTGGCAATGAGAAGAAAGAGATGCAACCATTTTCTCCTTCATCTTTGTGAGCCTATATGGTTTGTGAGATTACGTGAAACAGCCAAATGTGGGTTATCTTCTTTCTCTTTGTGAACTTCTTTTGTGAGTAATTGGAATAATCAACTCTTTCTTCTATTCTCTTTGTGAATGCCACCTTCACCCAAATCCTCTGTGAATTTTTTGGGTATTAGTGATAGAGTAACCTTGTGGTACGTGGGATGATTTAAATTGAGCTCTAACCTTTGTGGTCGCTAAAGGTGTTGATTTGCCATGACGGATTTGTGAAGCATTAGCAGTGAGGATGTCTGTTTGTAATGTGGAGTATAGATGCCTGAATGTGCATTTGATATTTGGATCACGAGTGAAAATGTGATTAAATGTTGGAGTCTTTTATCTGTAAAGAGACTTGATCAGGTAAAGTGTGTGAGAGACACTTCTATCATTTCTGTTAGGTGGAGACTCATTATCTACTTAGGTTGAGAGAAGTGGTGTGGTGATAAAAGATTATCCCGCTAACTTAGAATTTATAGAGATTTACTAGTTACGCATGAGTTGAGTGATCAATTTAGTGAGCATGTGGGGCGATGAGAGGAAATATGCGTTCTCGAGGTATGAATAGCGATGGCAATGGGGCGGGTTCAGGGCAGGGCACCCCGCCCCGCCCCGAAACTATATCAATATTCAAAGCAAACACTTGAAACAAAAAAAAAAGTCCAAAACAAAATTTTTTTAAAATTCTTCACGAGGAGGAGCGACCCGCGACGGGGCGGCTAATCTCTCCCCCACCCGCCCCGCCAACCCGTTCGGGGTGGGTTTTTTTGCCCCATTCGGGACGGGGCCCCACGGGGACGGGGCGGGGTGAGGAAAATTGTCATCTCTAGGTGTGAGCAACACGGAATGAGATAGAATAAGTGTGGCGAGATCTTTTCGTGGGGACATTTATTCATTTGTTGCATATGTTTTTTAATCGTTTAATTGATTAACTTGATGTTAATCTATTGCTCTGTGTGAACGTATTTTTTGGAAAGATCTGTGAATTATCCTATATTATATCTTCATCGCATGATTATTTGCTCTTGATTGTTTGCTGTTATTATTTGCTTCTACTTGGGTGTTTTTGACTTTAGCCCCGATGAGTACATAGAGCAGGTATGGTATGTGTTTCGGATCCGAAACACAAGGTAATGTTTGTGACTTCAATTTTTTTGGTTACCTCGATTAGATAAGTATAAACTTTGCATTTTGTTTGCTTGCTGGTTGATTGAGTATAAATGTGGAAACTTGTTGGGTTTTTTGATACTCAATAAATCTCGGGCGATGATGTTAAATCAATGTTGAATAATTTATATCAATACCATAGTGATGGCTCGATCCGAAATTAACTTGGGGCCACTAAAAGCAACTTAATTAAGTTAATGTTGCTCGTGTTCTAACACTCGTGGATGGCTCAAGTTGTGGTTATTAGTTGGATTGTGATATATGTTGACCCATTTATTATTGGTTAGTTGTCGTCTTTAAATGGCATCTCATTTAGTGAACTTTGGCCTAATTGGAGTGACCTAACTAATGTTATATTTATCCATCTCTTTCCAACCGTTGAGAGTGTGTGTTGGTTTGTGAGAAAGAGAGAAACATAAGGTTTGGCCAGTTTTGGTTCTTCTTCCTTGAGGTTCCAATTGCTACTCTATTTCCTCTTCCTTTGTGGCTTGCAAAACCAATCACCTAGTGTACCCTTTGTGTGTGAGTAAACTTGTGGCAATCAAGTGGTAAAGTTGTGGATCGAGCCTTCTTGGTTGGTGTTTGTTTGGTTGATTAAAGTGAGCCTGGATCAAGATTTCTTGAGGATCTCCGCAACGACACCTCATGTCTCAAAGCCATTTTTATTGGTTAAACATAAGAACACATTCTTCCACTTCTGGAGGTAATTGGCGATGCCTCATCCATTCTTCGGTATCTCTTCTCATTATTCTCCACTCTTCAACTCTTACCATCATTGATTCCAAGTAACTCTGATTGAGAGAAGGGAAACTATAAATGACTACAGAAAATCGGAGAATAATATCCAAATGGAAATAATAAACAATTTAAATAGAATAGGAGTATAAACATTTTTATGCTTATGAAGCAAATACAATGCTGTCCTGTATGACTACTCTAGAATTCTAATTCCCACCTAGTTGAAGACAGATACTATACCTGCATGTTGCCTATAAACCTTGCAAAAAGAATCAGACCTCCGATGCATAAGATAATGCAAAATGTTGTCTCGCCAATATAGGTACTTGTCGTCAAATTCTGTCCATACGAACAGCAAATAAATATAAGTACCTGTACTTTGGTGTGGTAATATAGGAGCCACTTACCTCACTGTCAATCCGATCTTTCGTGGTGCTCGAACTAAGCATATTGAGATCAATTTTCATTTCGTACGAGATCTGGTCAAAAGGAAACATTTGATTGTGAAGTTTGTCTCTAATCGGGATCAACTAGCTGATCTTCTAATAAAGCCACTATCAGTAACATGTTTCACAGCTCTTTCAGACAATCTCAGTCTTCGTATCCTATTCCTGAGATTGTGGGGGCGTGTTGAAGAACAAGTCTTGTACAAGTCACCCCCACCTGATTTGAAGGAGAAGATCATGGAGATCCCGTTGCATTTGTTTGCTAATCTTTTATTCAAATTCAAATGTCATGTGTAGATTAGAGTTATCATGTTGTCCTTTGTTACACTATAAATACACATGTATATAGTTCAATTTCAATAACAAAAAAATATATACAGACTTCTATTTTCTTTCATTCTCTAAATTCTATAGTAAACACAGTTTCCTCAACGCATCACAAAAAGCACAACGTTAAAACTGAATGAAATGAAGGATAATACTACAATCTACTTATTATTCAAACTCAGCGACACATATTACACAGGAAAACCAAAAGACAGTTGAAGGCGTGAAGAGCGAAAGCAGTGACAGACGCATGAGAGACGAAGCTTCTCGAGAAAGAAACGATTAGGAAAAAGTTTATATGAGCACGAAACGATGTCATATACAAAATTATTTAAACGACGTCGTTCTAAACAAGCGAAAACGACGTCGTTCTATATCAAGTGCAAACCGACGACATTTTGGACATAAATGTGAACAATGATGCTATGGCCTCTTATTGGAAATATGAATTGTGCATTGTATCCACACATT